GCATTCAAAATCAGTTGAAAGTGACTTGTGGCGTAAAGGTTCCCATGTAAAAGCTTTACAATACCATTCATCAGCTGACCAAAAAGAAGCTTAACGCCAAGAGTCCGGTCGAAGTGCTGGTCAAAGCTTTCGGGGATGGGGCCTATAAATTTGAGCTGGTCTTGGACGGTTGTGGATGTGTAACCCATTGCTTTTTTGCATCCCGGCAATAGTGGAGTTAATGAGAATCAATCACGACGTGTTAGGCTTGGATTTCTACCTACAAGACAAAAAATACCGTTCGCCTCTCCTGCACGTCGCCGGTTCCACTGCATTGCACGCCACATTCTCCGCGGCCTTCGTTGTCACGAAGAACGAATAATGAATAATCGTACAGGACTGCTGTTGGGTTCTTGTACAAATTTTCCACATCGATGCTCTGCCAAAAGTAATTGCAGTAGATCGAGAACTTGCCCTGATCTCGGCATTGCAGTATCAATTTCCTGAGGCCTAGATTGTGTTGTGTGTTTTATATTAATTGCGAAGAACATCACGCAGAATTGCAAGGGCCGTCTTGTCAGCAATTACGAACAGTTCATGAAAGACTGGGCAGCGGTAAAAGGTTTTTAATATGCAACTTTCACCAAACTTGTAATCCATCATGCTGATATACTTTTTAGATAGTGCATGCAGAAACAGAAGCTCTATTTAATGAGCTCTGGTTCAGGTTCCACACTCGCTACCATATGTACCAGGGTGCGCTTAGATACCTGGACGATACGTGGATATATCCTCATAAGAAAAGATTTGTTGCGGCATGGACCAACAACGTTACTCGTGTTAGGCATGCTGTTACTTCTAGTGAAAGCGTGACAGCCTGCTGATCCCGTATCTGGGCACGAGCATGCTTAATTTGTTACAACTCTTCGAGAGGATCAAGGTGTAGATTGAAGGTTTCCTGACAGATTACCGCGCAAAACGTGCGAGCCATCAAATGCGGACCCCTCTGTTTGCCTACCTTTTTCCGAAGACGGACATCTTTCAGAACGTCATAAAAAGCGTTTCAAATTTTGGTTTGAGCAAGTTCAACGAGAAGGCAAGTCAAACATGTGATGATGTTGGCAAAGTTTAACATCTCTTTATTTACCTTTGACCTGGTTGCAGCTGGAATTCGCACGCAGATCGGTTCAATCTGATGAAAATATATGCTCCCATGCGTTCACGACAGTCTGGAGTATGACATGCCATCACCGGCTCAGAAATTGGATCAGCGAGGATAAGCAATTAAGCTTGAACGACTTTATCCCCATTGGCACATTGTGGAACGTATTCCTCTTTGTCCTGATGCTTTTGAAAATCCCGAAGATAATTTGCCTGTTGTGATGGAACAATAAGTCAACAATTTGGCAAAGTTACCGGATCACCAACAGAAAGTAACTATTGATCATCTCCACCATCTGTTCCAGCTGTTGCCCTGTCCAATTAAGGAACCAGAAGCTGTGAGGACAAAGGGCCGCCCAAGCATCTCGACAAAAAGAAATTTGTCTGGATTTGAATACGTGAAACAATCGCAGAAGCAGAGGAAAGCGGAGAAATGTAGCGCATGTGGTGGCGTCGGTCACCGCAAAAGCTCGAAGAGCTGTCTAAATTATATTGCCTTTTACGTTTGCATTCGCAATTCATCAAAGTGAAGCGACGTCGTCAGCGACGAAATTGTTTGAGCTATGTTTTGATTCGGATTGATTATCGAGCTATATATGGCTTCATTATTCAGCACTACAACCACCTTCGTTTGCTCGATCAGAGAGTGCAGGTAACATTGACTTACAAGGCTCCACAACTTCCGACGAGACCAGAATCAAGGAGAAAAACAGTAAAAACTAATTTACCTTTGACACTATATTTTGGGTGATAGCCGTTCAAGCTAGAGCACGCCTAGTCATAATCATGTACCTCCACTCTAAGCATTGTTAGCCATATATCCTTTCTGTGCAACACATGCAAGTATCACACCCGGTATAGTACCTGGTCGCCATACCCTTTTAATCGCACAATGACCTTGTAAGTAACCGTTCTTAGCATCTTTGTACACGATTGATCTACCCGGGGTAGGACGATCAACGGTATGGATTGGTACTTATCTCGTCACAGACGTTAGCTGTAATTCCACAAATACTACACGCGGTACGTGCTTGTCCGTGCCCTGAGGAAGCTAAGCAGAAGCCCACTCGAGCTGCAACTCACCTCTAAACGGATGCGAAGATTCGTAAAGCCATGTTGATGTTAACAAAAAGAGTGGCAGAGTAGAAGAAGGAGGAGAAAATACGTTGGGGTGGTCGTCTGCTAAGTAAGGCCGAGGCAACCACGAGCAGAGGTATTTCCAATCAGCGTCCACTGCAGCTGAAAAAAAACGTCCGAGTTCAGTCACGAGATGTGGATGGTCACTATTGTGCTTATTGGCATCGCATTGGCTCTCAACAATAGTATTTGTGAAGTAGCGGAGACGCTGCAGAGGCGCACCTGTCATTTGACGTCATCCAAAACGCTAACATTCATGTGAAACATGGTGTATTGTTTGGCGTACCTTAAGAGATTGATTCGGTAGCCACATGTCAAGATTATGCATGTTGATAACATCTTCATAACGAAACGTGACTGTGAGCGCGTAGAAACTCGAATGTCGTTGCCACTGCCAATGGTTGGATCTTGGCATCGTACCTATGGATTGTATACCGTCTTCGAGACGGTAGAGACTTCAGCAGGCTTATCCCGTTTAAACACCGCGCCGGCCAAGATGGATTGATACGATCTCGCGCATGAGTGCAATAACTGTTTAAGATAAAGATATATCGAGCAGATTAGGTGACTACGTGTTTTCTTATTCTGCACCATAAATTGTAAAGTCCTCTTCATCATCATTTTAGGCGGGCGGGTGTGCCCGTAGCAAAAATGGGGTGTGCCCCTAGTCGTGGCCTTCTATCTTTTGTGTCAATTTAGCATGAACTCTTTTTAATAAGATTTTTGTAATGTTGGTGCCATATGCACCGGATTCCTCTTCGAAAATTCAGGCCATCATGAAGTATGAAGAAGTATCTACTGTGGCTTACGATATCTACATACCTGAAAGACGGTCGAGGTACGTCCCTTTAAGCAAACTGTGTCCCTTAATAGAATTGATCGAATATATCTGTACAGTATTTGCTGTGAGAATTTTAAAATAATCATGTAAATCACTATCGCCATCAGCAGATTTTTGTGGTGACAATAACCTTCATAAAACGTCGTGGACTTTGTTACCGTGCAATCAACCTGATAGGCCCGCTATCTTTATCTTGCCTACGTACTAACATACCAATCTGATTGTAAAAAGGCCTAATACAATAACGATTTACCCGTTTTTTTTAATAATCCACAAAAGGGTCTTCAGCTGTGGCCCTGATGGAATCTAAAGCTCGTGGCGGAGTATGAACGACAGCCCGCAGCATAAAGGCAATAATTGCTACGACTTTGTTTACACTAACTTTAATAACACCGTCAAACGATCGAGTTTCGGATCAGTAACAATAGGCTTCGCAAAATGCGTCTGGAGTAGTTGTATGTGCACTGGATAACTCATTTAGGAGCCTAGCAATCAAGTTGATAAACTTACTGTTGAATGTTGCCGGAGTAAATGCTTTGGTACATACTAGGTCGTTCGCTCATGAAAATTATACACATTTTGCCGGCAACTGCTGCCTTTGTGCTGCGTCGCTGCTCGATTCAGGGAGGTTTATCAGACTCGAATGTGTAGACGCTAGCGTTGTACCGTGAGAGAACGGACAACACTGGGTAATCGAGTGATGCGTTTCACATTGCTTCATCCGTTCGTATCTATTAACTGTTGAGCAGCCAGATGTCGCTATGATCCACATAGTCGTTATAGGTTTTGTTCTACGTCGCGTAGGTGCGTAGGTGACCAGGCCATTCAGTCTGACTTCCCACAGGCCAGTCGAGTTTACACTATCGTGCGACAAGGACAGACATATTGGACAGGTTCACAACGATGCACGTAACTAAATAGTGTCTATCCATTTACTTCCGCCACTTTCTTGATACCGACCGTAATAGTTTCGCCATATTCTTGATGGCGATCTTGAACGATCCATCGAGATATTCGCATACATTGTATACAACAAACCTCCAAATTTTATGCAGTCCAGCATTCATCGATACAGCTTTGGTGCTATGTTCATGCGGTGCAGCAGATTAACATTTCCAGCGAGTACACCTCAGCTTTTTATGATGTACTATTGAGAAGATGTTCCGGCACCTATGTTAACTGATATGATGTGTATTTGTCAGAAGACGCGTTCGGCCACCAGCATGATCATTGTGCTGCGCACAGCAGTTTAATGTTGCTTCAGCCCCAATTTAAGGGTCAAGCGTAGTACCCATCGGCTTCCATGCTTTTGCGAATGTAGTAACTCCGATCGCATCGGCTTCGCGAAGTGGCTTTTTGGTCGTATCGTGATGCTTGTGTCGATGGACAACTAGTAACAAATAGGGGCAGATGCGGTCATACGACTTTTTGTGGTGCCCAAATTACGCAGGATGTAGCGCTCTAATACACATTCGTGCTGTTCGTTCGCACCAAGAAGACGATGGATAGCGTGGACGATTCCCCATTGTTCACACTTTGAGTCCGTGCTCAGCACGTTTTTTGACATAACTCGGATCGACTCATCGATTCACTACCGCTGTATATTTCGCACATGTCATGCCACGACCAATAAAATCCAACAGACCAACGTCTTTGACTCGCGCACGTGTACGATGAACAAGACTATGTCAAGGCCGAGAACGCGACTCTCTAACACCGCGTTCGGGCAACTTGCGACGCCGCCATACCTTGTTTTGACACTCATCACTCGTTTTTCGGTGCACACCCTGTTTGACGTCCCACGTCGGCGGCCCGCGTCTTTTCGTCCACTCAGTGCTCGCCATTCGTCGTCCACGCCCTTCCACCCCTGGCGATCATTGGCATGAGGTCTCCCGCGGCGTCTCCTGCGTCGCCAACAGCCGCCGCCACCGCCGCCGCCGCCGCTGCGCTGCGCCAGATCCCCGTCGTATGTCCAGGCCACTCGCGGCCTCTGACGGAGCTGCACTACAGCCGCAGCGCGTCGACGCTGCTGCTCTCGGCATGCCACGACAAGCTGCCGATGCTGCGCCACGGCGAGTCCGGCGACTGGATCGGCACGTTCGAAGGCCACAAAGGCGCCGTGTGGAGCGCGAAATTGGACCACGAGGCGGCGTTTGCTGCGACGGGCAGCGCGGACTTTTCCGTCAAGATCTGGGACGCGCGCACCGGGGACGTCGTCACGACCCTCGAGCACAAGCACGTGGTCAAGAGCGTGGCGTTCACGCGCGACGATCGGCGGCTCGTGACTGCAGGCCACGAGAAGCTCGTGCGTGTGTTTGACGTCACGCAAGTCAAGGAGCAGCACAAGCAGTACAAGGCCGAGGGGGGCGTCGTCATTTTGCCGCCACCACTGCCGGTGGGGGAGATGCACACGAGGGAGCAGATTCGAAAAGTAGTGGTCTTGGGCAACGAGGTGGCGGTCACGGGGGAAGTCGACGGCACGGTGACTGTCTGGGACTTGGAGACGTTTACACCTAGACGACAGTTTACTGTCGACACAGGCGTGATGGATATGGAGGGTTCACGGGACGGCAAGGTGCTGACGGTGGCAGCTGGTAAACAGGTTGGTCTTGCTTTGATGCCGTGGTTATGTTCATTGTTGTCGTCTTGGGTTGTAGTGTGTGGTTGTTGCTACCATATTGTGTATTGCATCGAGATGTGCTGAGAGTTGTGCCTTTTTCGTGTCAATGTGGTAGGTCTATTTCTACAACGTCGACGATGACTTTGCACTTTTGCGATCGTTCGCCATGCCCATTTCGTTTGCAGAAGAAGGAGGGGCATCATTGCATCCAACCGAGAATAAGTTTGTTGCTGGTGGGTCCGACACGTGGGTGCGCGTGTTTGACTTTGAGTCGGGAGAACTGCTCGAGACGCTCAAGGGACATCATGGACCGGTAAGATGTTTGCGATACTCGCCATCGGGCGACTCGTTCGCGACGGGCTCGGAAGATGGTACAATTCGCATCTGGCAAAACGACTTTACGCTTGCGGCTTTGACGTCCATCGCGGACACGGCCGGTAGTCTGAGCTAAGAATGACGCCATTGGTGGCAGCATCGCGTCTGCCCGATTGCAATGGCGAAAGTGACATATAGAAGCAGTTGCCGGTTGCAGGACTCTATAATATGTTATCAACGACTGTAGCACAGTCCTGCGTTCTTCAGTTGCGCAATTTAAGCAAATTAACAGTGATCGGTCCGGGCTGCTCATAATCGGGCACTTCTACAAAAGAAATCGACGCATCTCCTGGTCCCTATGCAATTACTTGGGATTTGTTTCCGTTTTGCTTAGCAGTGTTTAGCAAAAGAAAACTCGAAACATTATATGATATGCATCAGCAGCTTCATCTATTATTTGGGGAAATTAAAAGGCCACGACTAGGGGCACACCCATCTTTTGCTAGGGGCACACCCCATTTTTGCTACGGGCACACCTGTCCTCCTAAAATGATAAAAAAACCTTCACATTTTATGATGCATTATAAGTAAAACGCATAGTCACTTCGCACTGCTCGATATGTCCCTCCCTCTCTTAATCAGTGAATGCGCTCATGCGCGAGATTTAATCAATCCATCCTGGCCAGGGCGCTAACCGAACGGCAATGCCTGCTGGGATCTCTACTATCTCGACGACGGTAAACAATCCAATGGTACGATGCCAAGATCTGACCATCGGCAGTGGCAACGACATCCTAGTTTTATCGTGCTCACAGTCACGAGTCGTTTGCATCACTATAATGTGTGACCTGTGACGACGGGCACCACGCAACAAAGTGCTGTCGTTTGCAAGAATAGACTATTGAGGCACAAGAGGTGACGTTTTGCACGCAACAGTCAGATTCGCGTGACGTCGGGAGATGTACATGAAGACGTATGTCAAAATGCATGGACTTGGCATATGTCTGCCGGATCAATCTCTCGTGGTAGGCCAAACAATCCATCATGTTCCACAGGACTTTCAGCGTTCTAAATGACGTCAAATGACCGTTGCGCCGCCGCAGCATCTTCATCACCTCCGCTACTCAACAAAACCAGGTTGGCCGAGACCCAATGCGATGCCAATGAGCACAACAGCGACTGTATACAGCGCGTAACTGAACTCGAACGTTGTTTCCAGCTGCAGCGGACGCTACTTGGAAATAGCTTTGCTCTCGGCTGCCTCGGTTTTACCCAGCAAACGGCCATCCTGGCGCATTTTCTCCTCCTTCTTCTGCTGAGCCACTTTTTCCAATCAGCACCGCCATGGATTTACGGGTAGTCGCATCCGTCTAGAGGTGCGTTACAGCTCGAGTGAGCTTCTTCTTAGCTTTCTCGGGGCACGGACAAACACGTACCGCGTGCAGTATTTGTGGAATTACAGCTAAGGTCTATAACGAGGTACGTACCTAAACATTAAATGGGAAGTCCGTATTATCATTTTAGGAGGGTGGGTGTGCCCCTAGTCGTGGCCAAATCAAATTAAAAAATGCCCCATTCAATCATAACAAATTAAAAAAATGCCTGAGATAATTGAAAAATAAAAAAATACCCCACGTCCTAGTAAACTCATGTTAATGTGGGTCACATAAAACCACGCGTCCTTAATCATTTTCTTTTATTATTTTACGGCCGTAACCAATCCCCGCCCTGTTTGGGAAGCCGCGGGGAGGGTTCTGCCGCGGGCGTGCTGCGCTTGCAGCCACCAGTTAAAGGCGCAGGCGCGAGATATGAGTATGTAAACGCGCCTTTGTATCATCGGTCGCGGCCGTAAATACAGTCAGTCGGTGCTAATATTTTTGATATTAATGTTATTTCTTTGCTGCTGTTGTTCTATTTGCTATTGTTGATGCTGTCGCTGCTACTGTGGATGCTGCTACTGCTGTTGCCGCTACTTATGCTGTTGTTGTCGATGATGCTACTGTTGCTGCTGCTGCTGTTGTTGTTGTAGGTGATGCGGTTGCTATTTATGATGTTATACTTGTGGGATTGCATTGCATTCCTGCTTATCAGTTTGATACTTAAAAACACATAATCATATCAATAGACGCCACTTAATCTATTCTTTCTGTTTAGCTGCAATGTCTGCATACTTCGTCGTATACAGGTCTGTTTCAAAAATGACACTTGCGATGATGCCTTAATCGTATTCGTCAGACTAGGACGTGGGGCATTCTTATTTCCAATTATCTGGGGCATTTTATAATTTTCGTGGTTAGATAAGGTAATTTTTTTATTTTCCCATCATTTAATCTTAAGTCGGTAATGCGACAGCCAAAGATACTGACTAACTGTACAAGTATTCATTCGCCAAAGCACAAACTCCCGAAAGAGTTGAACTCATCGATAGGTGTAGACGTTCGGTCAGTCAGTGCGTTTCTTTTTTGACGAGGCTAGGTCTGTAACTTTCAGAGGCTGTTGCGGTATGCAAACTTTCTTCGTTGTCATTTCCACCACTTTCCTTATCCACAATGGATATCTGTCGCTACGTAATGAGCCACTAATTACTCCAATGAACCGCACGCATAGTTGTAGTTGTGACAGATCGTACCCGTGAGGAGTCACAGCAAGATTTGATGGGTACTGAAGCTCAAGCGTATTCCGGTAGTGTCGTATATCTTCTGTAAGCGCAAAACGGTTCTTAGATTATTGTAGAGTTGACCAGCGAGATATCAATTCACTGATTTTTCGCTGTCGCCTTCGCGGGTGGTAAAGAATCCGAAAAAGAGCCAGCGCAGTTTCAAAGCATAGCTACATTGTCAAAGTATAGCTACATAACCATGTACATATCCTGAGAAACGACTTGAGATAGGATAATACGACAAATTATTGAAAGCAGTATGGAAGATAACACACCGGAGAGCTGACAGAACTTATCAGTTTTATTGTAGACAGCAGTAACTTGAGGGTTTCGGAGACATTGACCGGAAATGCCATCACGCTGCAAGACATTCGCATATGATGAAATACGATAGGAAATGTATCGATTCGATGAAGAGCTTCTGAAGGGAGATGACAAGCAATTGGAAGCCGTTCACAAGCTGTTGATAAACGCATTTGTAAAAATAAGAATTTATTGGATTTTGTTCCCAAAACTTGCAGATGACTGACTCGCTTCATTGCCTTCAAAGTTATAAGCGCCCCAACACTGCTACAACCTCAATCCCGCATCCGAGCTATCGTGATATCGGTCGTATGCTTGTTTACATATATGTGGTATTATTTATAAATACAGATTTGATGTAGTTGCGAAGCGCATTTGCCGCCATGTGCGACAAAAACTGTCCCAAGAAAAAAGAAAGGTACATAGCTAGATGCTCTTGATGAAATATTTCAGTTTACTACGGGTCATTGTAACTAGCCTGCGAAATTCAAAATATGGATGACAAGCACATAGCGCACGTATCGTATTTGGCTTATCAATCGTAATGAAAAACGATGCGAACGGGTCTGATGATGGTTTTGCCTATCTGGACAGGACTACTTATGAGGTGCAAAATTGTTGTGGCACAGGTTTTTGTAGTGAGACCTATTGTGTACATAGCTTAAACCCTTATCTATTTAGTAAACTTCATAAAAATATTATAAAAAATGTAGAGATACTAACTCTTCGATTGAAAGAGTTCGCCTCACCGGCTTTGCAAAATTCTATCAATAATTATTTGAAAGGTCTGGAATAAATGTTAAAAGCTCTAATGTCAACAAAGATAGTAGCAAAAGTATGAATGACGTTGGTTTAGAAGAAAAAAGTTCAAAACCTTCGTTCCGCACTAAATACACGATTCATAATCATGATGGTTCGGTTTTGACTAACTTCGGCGACAACTCTGACATTTATTTGTGGTCAGATCATTAGATTGCAAAAACGACTTGCATATCTTCCTGATTAAATTTTTTACGATTGGTCCATATTCGCCGTTTTATAAAATGCAGCGGTGCATTCTTATCTCATCATTTATGGCAGATAAGTGTACAACGATACATCTGAACGTTTTCTAACAAAATATTAAATTTCTAATCTTGTAAAACTTTCACTACAATCTAATTTGTGCTATACAAGTGCACGAAAGAAGTCGACTCACACCGTCAGTATACTCAAACGAGTATTCCCACATATTCCTAATAATTCAATCAACCGAAAATCCCATTAGCCTTCCACGTTTACCAGCCTTCGTCCCAACAAAAAAAATTTTAAATACTGCTGCACATTATGCTGATCATTTTCACATTATTGTCAGGCATTATTTAAGCGCAAATAATGATGTATACAGTCATAGATGTGACAGGGAAAGTTCTAACAAAATTATGATTAAAAAGATAAGCGAGGTTAAATACTAAAACAGAATCATATGAATCTATTTGCCTAGTATTGTTGCCTATCGATTTGTATCGTCTATTTCTTACGGCTGTGCGTCTGATATTCTATATACGTCTAGGTAGAGCGCTCAATTTTTTTCGTTGAAATTTAATCCCTCAATTGCACGAGGCTTTTCGTACAACAAATTACATTTTGCGTTTGTCTGTTAGTAAGCGACACAATATCACGTTGTTGTTATCAGCAGAAAAATTTAACAGAAATTGGAGCTCGTGACTGTATCTTAGGAAGTGTGAGATTCTTCGGTTACGTCGTTTATATGCGATGGGCTTATCACCGTGGATTACAACAGAAATATGAAATTTGCGCAACATCGACCGAAAAATAGATTTTGGTATTATTCTATTTTAGCTGATATTGATCGTGGATGAAAGCAGAGTTTGTATCGCAATGGAACAAGTCAGAGTTCTATCTTTTCATTGATAAGCGAAATGAAAATGACACACGTAAGATTCGTCAAAGCAGACATGCACAAAACGAATAACATCTGTCTATAAAATAAGTTCTATCTGTCCTAAAATATCGAATATGTATGTTAACAGACTCTGTTCAAATATTCGAACTGTATACCGGTAATTATCACACCGCCTTAAGCTTGTATGCGTAACAAAAATATCGGCTGACGGCAACTACATGTGTCCTAATATTTTAAACACAAATAGGTCAGTACGCGTCTAGAATGC